AGGGTATGTGTGGGTTTTCCTTCCCTCATTTCTCCATCCAAAAGGAAATCCAGAATTGAATTCTACACCCACAAATCAACTTGAATACTACCATTGTCACTTTGTGGTGGCTTTATTTAGGTATTTAATAACATCAAGTTATCAATCAAGGGTGGGAGGAAGCAGCACAAGAGCTCTTGTTCTAAAGATGCCTATACATTGACATCTTTTTGTTTTCTACATTATTTTTTGTTGTTTTTTGTTTGGATTTTATTTTGTTTCTTTGAGACAGGATCTCCCTATGTAGTTCAGGCTGGCTTCAATACTTCTGATTCTCCTGCCTCAACATGCTAAGTGCTGGTATTACACATGGGAACCACTAGACATCCCCCCCAGCTTATATAGAAATATTAACAAAAGTGACAGATATATGTAATTTCTTTTCATGCCGGCTTACTCCATTCCAGAAATGGAACAGGCATGTGGTTTTCATTTGGCATTCCACATTGCACTTACTAAGCATTTATATCCTCTTTCTGAATACAAACACTTGAACTAAAATGTACATAGATGATAAAATCCTTTTAACTCAATAAGAAAAGTGTTGCATCACAGAGGAAATGAATCATTAAGAGGAATTTTTCCCCCTGTATATTTGAAGAATAAATCCATTCTGGTTGTGTTTAATCTGTGTCTGGGTTATCTGCCCAGGTAATTGCTTCAAATGCACATTTAACCACATGCCAGCATTTATAAACCACTGCACTCTGTAAGCAAATATGAAAAGTTCCACTTTTTCCACATTGTAAGTATAAAGAATTCTGATAAAAAGACGATGTGACTTTATGGCACATGACCAGATGTACTACCATCAGCAACTATGGGAGAAAGGAAGAAACAAAGGCAGTGACTCCAGAAGTCTTATCATGTGGATATGGATTGGCCTTAACCTGCTTGTTCTACTCAAATAACTGTATACAAGGAGAGCTGCTGCTGAACAGGAAGGACATTGTTTGTGGTCTGTCTGGATGGATGGAGTGATATAAGTAGCTTTAGTAGGTACTGTCTGTCTGAGTTAGTTTACCCAGAACAAGCAGCATTTTGCATGTAAGGTCAGTGGGATAGTGTGTGCATGCCTGTGGGTAATCTTGGGTCTCAGTTCTCCTAAAATGCCATCTACCTTGCTATTTTCAGGCAAGATTTCTTATGATCTGGGGATCACTGGATAGGTTTGACTGGAAAGCCAGCAAACATCAGGCATGTGCTTATTTCTACCTCATTGGTGCTAAGACAAAGAGCCTGTACTATTATGCATGTTTTTATTTGTTTTCAAATATAAATTCTTAGGCTCAAAAACTAAGGTCACTATGCTGTTAAAGCAAGCATATTCCTTATTGAACCCCAAGAACCATTTTTGAAACATGCCATGTATTTTAAAATCAAAGAAACATAAGCAAACTGAGGATTCTGATACTTCTAAGTGCCACATTTGTTCAAGAAGTCTCTCCTTCCATTGGAATCTTGTGGGTTCTTTATCTAGTGGCATCTCTGGACAAGTTCCATCATCTCTTGGGACCACAGTAGAGATGATCTTTCTAGGGCTATGACAGACTCTATGACTGGTGCTATGTTTATTTGTAGTTCTGGGCAGTGATGGAAAGTGGACAATGAAGAAAAGGGACTGTGCTCTCCTAGAAGCAGAGGCAGTTGGGTACCAAAGGATGATCAAGGTCCAGACTGAGTTCAGTTAGGTGCTCCTCCAAACCAAAGAGCAAGGCAGATGGAGAACCCTGCCTTAATAGAGCTTTTTTCCTAGCATCAAGCAAGAATGCTTCTTCTCTCTTTGTGCAATCCAAGCCACTTGATTTTGACATAGGAAGCCCAGAGAATCTGTCTTCAGAAGGAAATTATATGTGTGGAGAGTATACAAAGGAAAGATAAAAACAAAGAAAAGAAGGAAACAGAGGAGAAAGAGGATGTAAAGATGGAAGGAAATAAGGAGGGGAGGAGAAAGAAGGAGGAGATAGAGGCAGAAGGAAGCATGGAGGGAGAAAGGAATAAAGGGAGTAGACGAATAGAATGATAGGATGAAGGTATCTATTCACCATTCTCCCTGCTTCTTACTTCCTTCACATTCTATCTGGCTCCTCTCTCCTTTTCCTACTTGACTTTCCTTTGTTTCATCCAGGATGAGAGGATGTCTGGAGTTGGACAAGGTGGTACACACCTGTCCTTCCGACACTTGGGAGGTAAAAGCAAGGGTGTCATTGTAAGATGAAGGACAGCTTATTTTATATAGTGAGTTCCAAGCCATAGAGGGCTACATGGAGAAATCCTATCCTAAAAGGGAGAAGAGAGAAGGGAGAAAAATGCAGAGGGAGTAGGGAAGGAAGAAAAAAAACAAGTCATTCTCATGGGGTACCAGTATGGGCGTAACTTTCTCTCTGAGGATTGTTGCAAGGTCACTCTAGGCTCTGACTAGCTCACGGGATATGCCCTCCCTGCAGCTATGTTTGAACCAAACATTGCTCTGTAGTCATTTATGTGTCCCCTTCACTGGGAAAGGATCATGCCAACAAACCTTGCTTGGAAAAGCCCAAAGCCTCAGCTCAGCATCTTCAAGCACCTTTCCCACCCAAGCAAAACAAAGGGCACAGGGTTCACCCCGGCTCTCTGCTCTGGGCAGCACTTGTTACCTCTTTACTCCAGTGTGAAGCTTCTGCTTCACATGAGCCTTACATCCAAATTCTGCAAACCTGGTCTTCACCTAACAGGAGTCTGGTCCCACTCCTGTGGCCCCAATGAAAGGGAAAATGGGTCAACATAATTACAGGGTGCCCTCACCCAGCAAGGCAGCTGTTCAACCACAACATACATTTCTCATTTGCCTTATTCTGAAAATGTGAAAAAAATGTGTGAAAATTTTTATTTGAGTCATAGCAAAATAGAATCGGGATGGAACCATCCCTATCCATTGTCTCCCTAGTCCTAAAGACTAGGACTTGTCTTGCTACATCTCCAAAGGCTTGGATGAGCTCACGATTTCCTGCCTTTTCCCATAAGACATGAGCCTCTATATCTGCCATATTGGTTAAAACACAATCCAGGAAGCTTGGGTGCTAGGGACTGGCATGAGAGCTCTATAAACCCACATATTTGTCTTAATCATAATCATAACACAGTTCAAAATAAACTTCAGATAGAAATAAAGTCAGTAGGCCTGTGTTTTATGATCTTAGCATTTTACTCCCACTGTAAAGAAAAGTATCATAAACGACTCTGCTATGCCTTCTAGAGCATGTACCAAATTCCAGATAGTCTCTGGAAGTTGTTCTTCTCTTCAAGAAAATTATCCCTGCTAATAATTCATACAAAATTGTAAACATCTATGGCTTCTCCACAACATAGGTACAAACCCACTCTGTGCACAGATGGAGGGCTTTGCTCTAAGGCCTCCAGGGTCCCTGTGTGGCCACCCCACCTCCAAGAAAGCAGGTGCTTCCTAGAGGTTCAGGTACACCTCTAATTTTCTTTCTTGTTTTTTGCCCTCCTTCCACAATTCCTACCTGGGTTCACAGCTGAGACTTTTGAATATGATGATATGATAAGACGCCTGGGGCAGGATTCTGCTGCTCCTGGAGGTGACAGTGGGAAGAAGCTTAGGCCCCTTTTAATGTGGTGAATAAAAAGTGGAGAATAGGTTTAGCATGGTGTGAGTGAGAAAGCTCTCATCTGTCAGAAGTCCAGCAGAAGCCAGGAAAAGGGAATTTGGGTGTGTGTTCCAGAGTTCCTATTGTGCCCCTCATTTCTGGTTTCTGGGACCTGACTGAAGCTTTTATAGATAGTGGATTTTCACTTATATTTTTCAGGAAACCCAGTGTCTATATGGGATAAGGTTTGGGGTACAGAGCCTTTTACGTGAACTGGGGAGTCAGCACAGGTAGAACACTATGAGGCTCAGCAAGAGACCAGAAGCTAGAAACAGAATCATTTCTGATGAATGCTTAGATCTTCCTGAGGAGTTCATATCTGCATGTGTGGGTGGAAGGGTCTGCCTTGAGGGGACCCAATACTGAAGAAACAGCCAGCTGTAATTCCTTTCCTGACTCCTCACCACTCCTGACCCTTTCTCCCCAGACAAAGGAAGCCAGGTGCCCCTCCTTACCTGTCTACAGGTACAGGCATGTGTACATGGATGTACAAGGGCCTGTGGGATGTTGGTGGACTGTTGAGGGCACAAAGCTATATCCATACTCAGAGTACATGCCTGCACTAAGGTCTCAATTAAAAGTTCCTGGCAAAGACCAGAGATGCTGCTCAGTAGAACACTTGCTCAAAAAAAAAAAAAAAAAAAAAAAAAAAAAAGCCCTGCATTCCATTCACAATCATTTTCCTGCAAGAAAATTAAATTTGTGACTGGCCAGGTATGGACATAAAAGGCATGTAGAATATAAATAAATAGTATACATGCCTATGTATAGATATGTGTGTGTGTGTGTGTGTGTGTGTGTGTTTGTGAATATTTACATGCACAGACACAGGAGCATCTGTACACATGTATACATGTATAGTATATCTCCAAAAGCAAGTATAGAAAACCTGTTTCCAGAAAGGCTGTGAGGTTTCCCAGACATATACCTAGATATATGCATAAACACACACACACACACACACACACACGTGTGCATATACATATATATATATATGTGTGTGTGTGTGTGTGTATGTATGTATATATATACAGAAACAATGGTTGAGGCACTGTATAACTATTCAGATTTACTTTTCTATAATATAAGTTTACATGGGGAGCTTTTCTCCTGTAATTGGGAATTCTCTGTAAATGTCTGTTACTTCATTTATTCTCATGGACAGAAGCTCCGTCATACCCACACTGTCTCACCAGGTTGCTTTCCAGGCTTGAAGCACTTCTGCTTGATCTTGTGAACAGAGGGGAGGATGTGCCATCCCACCAGGCTACATGCACATCTCATGGTGTTCTGCTCTCTCCTCTTTCCCAGTGCCTGGCTTCCCCTACCCAGCCGCCACTGCTGCAGCAGCATACCGAGGGACTCACCTGAGGGGCCGTGGCCGCACGGTGTACAACACCTTCAGGGCTGCAGCGCCCCCACCCCCGATCCCGGCCTATGGCGGGTAAGTGCTGCGCCCTCCCGGGAGGGGGGCTCCCTGCACCTGCCCTCCCTCCCCAGAGGCACGGAGTGTTTGCGAGCGCATGATGGTCTTGACCACCCCACCAGAACCACCCCAGCATGCAGCCTAATATGAGCCTGCTGCAAAGCACCTTGCAAAGAGTACTGAAAAATGAGTGTAATTTGTCTGGTCACGGTTGGTGCCTTTAAGCATCCTACGTGTCACATGTTGTTATGTAAATTCTCCTTGAGACTGAATGCTGGAGAACAGAGAAATGGTTACAGCCAAACATGTATTTCTGATGACTGCAAGCATCTGGTTATTAAGGAGGTTGGACTATATTTACCCCTTGAATGCAAAGGGGACATGAGGTTTCCCATAGGTAAAAATCACTGGGGTGATCTTGTTTCCCTCCTTGCAGACATTTGGCACTCTCATGTGTGTGAACTTTTGCCTGAGAAAATTAACGTGTTGAGTCAAACACAACATTCTAGACAGGAATGAAATTACAGTTAATTTGTCTTTTACTTGCGTTTTCCAAAGTGACTCATCTTGTTCTTTCTCTTTTTGACTATCAACTGAGGCTTTCTGTAATTGGATGCTGTTACTGACAACTAATGTTCTAGGAATAAAAGGGAAGAAAGGATGGAAGTGGGGGAGACTGGCTAAAAGGAAACCACTGTGAAATGACTCTTCTTCCACTCTTCTATTAGGGAATATTGGAAGGGCATTCTCTAGGCACAGAGAGCCAGCTGCTTCTAAGGCACTGGCCCTACATTAGGACCAGGTCTAGGATATTTTTGATTGTTACAACAGGATGGACATGGGTGATGATATCTAATGGACAGACTCCAGAAACTACTTAAACATTCTGTGATCCTTAGAGTAGCCTCACCCTCAGGGCAAAGCATTGCCTGGCTAAAAGTATGAATTGTGCTTATATCTGCAGCATAGAAGAGTCAGCTATGCTCAGGAGAATCTGGTATAAACGTTTCCAGGCCAGTGACTAGCTTTCTGATAGAAAGAATATGCCTATGCTCAGGACCATATGAAAAGGGTTAAATGCATTTTCTTAAAAGCTTTGTTGCATATAAATCTTTTAGGAAATCTGAATTACCCCTGCTCACTCCTTATACTGGTGACAAAGGGAAATACTCTTGCTATTATTTATTCATGTCTCACCCACTCCAAAAGAGCTGAGCTGAAGTGCATGAACAAAAACAAAAACAAAAACAAAAAACAAAGACTACGAAAAAGGCTGGAGAATATGCAGGAATGAGGTTAGGTAAAATCATCAAAATGGGAGTATAAAGGCAAGAAAAGGAACAGGATCACTGACATCAGGTGTTTTTGTGTAAGTCATTACTGTGAGTCTGTGTAAGGCTTCTGAGTGGGTCAAAACAACAAGAGAAATTATGAATGATAAGAAAATAAGGACCAAAATAAGGACACTGGCTTTATAGTCTCACCATGTCCCAATGTATCCACACATTATATAAAGGACCTTTGTCTCTATATTTTGTATAACACCCACACAGTAGAGGCCCACTTGATACATGGGTTATGAAAGACACTGGAAGAAGGGGGACTAGAAAGGGATAAGTAATCATCTGGGTTCATGTTCTTGCTAAAGAAAGATTCATAAGCCATAAATGCAAAATATCACATTTATACCACTTTATTCTTTCTGAAAAATCATCATCTGAGTACATGGTAATTGTAGCTTTTCTGTATATATACCCCTAGTCAGTATCCCACTACTGTACTGAACAGGAAAAAAAAATAAAGTAAAATTATATGGCCTATCCTCCCCTGAACAATTTATAGAAACCTCAACATAACACACCTGCTATAAAATTGAAATTTACTAACTTATAATGAATGTGCTCTTTGCCGGGAATAACCATGCATAACTAATTAATGCCACATTCGCCAGGGAGAAACAGACAGTTTCAAATGGTACACAACATGTTTGTGACTCTTTTGGAAGGGACAAAAATGTAATATTCCAGGAGTCCTCCTTACCATATTGGCTGTAATGGTGGCAAGTGTTTATCTCCTTCCATGAATATGTCTTTTCCCTACGTGGAACACACAGCAGAGCACAAATAATGGCATGTGCCGAGAAGAAAGTATTGAGTTTAACTGAGCTTGGGGCAGATCTTATGGCTGAAATTCTGGAATAAGAAGTTTAAAATACAATCGTCAATGTTAGAAGCTCCACTCACTGAGATAGAGCAATTGTTTTGCCAGCATGAAAACCTGTATTTGAATCCAACACCATGTTAAAAAGCTAGGCATGGCTAGGCATGCCTGTGACCCCAGCACTGGGGGGCTGGAGATAGGTAGATCCTGGGAGCTCACTGACCAGCCAGACTAGCACAAAAGAGCAAAGTTTCAGTTCAGTGACACACTGTCTCAAGATAGTATGTTAGAGAATGATAGAAGATGAAATACATAGGTTCTGCTCTGCCTTCATGAGCACACAGTCTCACTCATGTTCAAGCATGGCACACACATTGATTAATTAATTAATTCATTAATTAGAATTATCAACACAGGCAGAAGGCTGATGTCAAAAAAAATCTGTAAGACCCAAAGTACTGGTGAAAATTGGAGATTCGGTTATCTGCCTAGGAATTTTACTGGACTACAGATAGCTAGAATGCATCTGTGTGCAAGTGATGAAACCAGAATCTAAGAAGAAAGTTCTCTTTGTTTCCTCTAGGCTCATTGGCTTAGATTACAAAGAAGGCAAACCGTCTTTTGAAAGGAACGCAGTGGTACTCTCAGAGCACAGATTTCCCCAGGAGAAAGTTCCCGATTCTGAGCTGAGTACAAGCACTGAGCAAAGCTGTGCAGAGCATGTCTGTTTTGAGAGCCTGACATATCAGGTGGAGATGGTTGAGGAAATGAGGGTTCCCAAAGCTGCTGTCTCAAAAATCCTTCAGAGGAAGGTGTCAAGGCTTGACTGACATCTTTATTCCAGTTCTCTTCAGCCAAGCACCCCACACTCGACAATAGCCACACCTTGTGGCCTTTAGTGTGCTTCCTATACCACATTCTTAAGAGTTTCTCTGGATGAAGTCTGGATCTAGCATACAGGCTAATGACTTCAATTCACATGGTAGATGGTAAAGTGGAGGGGCTATTTACCAGAGGAGGATCCTTAGCCCAGCATGGGTGTTTTGACAAGGCTTCCCAGAAGAAAAGACATGGTGACAAGGCTATGTCTATCCAGACTGCCACATTAAGATCTTGTCCTGTGAGTACCCACCCAGTTATCCATCTCCATCTTTCCTCACAAAACACATTTATTAAAGAAGTTTTATTGTCACCAAAAAAAGATGCATCTATCTACAACCTACTTTTCATGCACTATCCAGTGTGAGTTTATGTTACTAAAATTCCCAGCCCCAAAGGTATTCTGTATTCTAGGTCTATATAGGATTTTTCTTTTTCTTTTTTTATCTCTGATAGAAAAAAAAAAACAACACATGCAAACACATACAAACACATACACTAGCACACAGTCCCACCTTCAGACATTTACATGTGGCATTTGAATCTTCATGGCTACCTCTGTGGAACCTGGGATAGTCACTGGATGCTGGATGTATAGAACATTGATATAAGCATCCAAAACACATTAAAGAAACTTATCTGCATCCATTTTCTGCCCCTCCCAGCAGTTAAACTGCAGAGATTATGACGAGGGCCTATTCTGTTTTCTTTGGAATAACTAAATAAAGGTCTCTGGAAATATCAATATATGATAATCACTCCTAGAGCAATATTTCTGCTGATGGACAATAAAGTGATTTTGGAATAATCAGAAAACCCTAAACACAGCCAGTAACTCACTATCAGCTGCCAACAGTAAATGAATCAGAGTCAGAGAATGATGCATAGTAAACATGGTATTTTACCACCCTAGAAAGCTACAAGGAGATATACAGTTTCCTTGACAGAGAATGAAACATGCACCCAGCTCCATAGGATTGATGAAGGATGAAATAGGAAGAGCTGTACAAGGTCATGGCTCAGTAAGGCCCATGCTAGGACCTGTTTGCTGGACTGCAGCTAATCTTGTTGAGCTTGATGGGATTATTGACATTTTTGTAAGTTACCTATACTTCCCTTTCTTGAATGCCCCCTTTTTCTTGAGGGGATACAAGGCTGATCTGATATATATATATGCCTTTATATGTACTTTAACCTCTTTGCTAGGGAGCCCTTGCAGTTCAAAAGCCCCATATCACTGCCAAAGCAAGACATAGTCATAGACAGAGACACACCAAAAGCTTATGAATGCCTTAGACTAAACATAGTGTCTCAGTTAGTGGACTGTCTCAGAGTCCAATGGATGAGTGTTTTCTTATTTTTCCATGTCTTAACTGAAGTTTTGAAGGGAAGCCACAATGTCCTATCATCCAATGAGTCATATTCATAAGAGAGTCTCCATTAGGGAGTTGTTATTTAAAGGAGATTGCAGGCTGGCAATATAAGTGGGATTGTATATGTACTCACTAGACTGAGCTCAGCATTCCACATAGGAGACTGCCTTTAATCCCATTCCTTGAGCATCATCACAGGCCTTGCTTCATTGCACACTAAGGAGTTACTAAGTAGATACTTATGGAGTGTATGCTATGTATGTTGCATGGTGATACAGCCTTAGGAAGCATCATAGGAGATGTAGGCCTAAACACCCAGCTCTGTGTATGAGCCTTTAGTCTTTGTTCTGTGGTATCTATACCATCTACTTTCCTTGCCGATCCTACAAACTATCAGACAAAAGCAACTTAAGAAAGGAGGGAATGCTTTCTTATATGTAGGTACAATCCTCCACAGCAGGGAAAGCAGGGCAGCAAAACCTCAGCAGCTGCGTACATTACATCCTCAATCAAGAAGCAGAGGAGCACTCTTGTGCTCTCCTGGCTTCTTCTCTTTCTGTTCAGCCTGAGCCCCCAAATCCATTGCTGTCCACAGCCAGAGTGGAT